TGGTGTGGGGTCGCCCCTTCTCTTGAGATGCTGGACAGCAGCATAGAGCTGTGGCTTCCAATCATGGGCTCCCTCAGAGAGGTCAACAGCTGTACTGTCCAGCTGTGTTGCTGAGCTGCGGTGGTTGATTGGTTAGGAGTATTATTGTCCATGCATTTTGGACATCTGACATTTTCACCCACACTGGGTTTATCGCGAAGATAACCCTGTCATGGGTTGAAGGTCACCTGTCTATATCCTCTCAGGAAGGCTGGAGACCCCATGAGATGTCAGATGCTCTTCATTCCAGATATGTGATATCAAATAAGCATTTGAGTTTGACACATGATAAGTTCTGTGAGTTTTTTTTTTAATTAGAAGTCCTCTGGGATGTCTGAATGTCTGACTTGAGCTGCCTGATCTGGGGCAACTAGGAGCCCATTGGTACCAGAAAGGAAGGGGAGCCCATCCAGAGGTGGAGCTCTGCCCCTTAGAGTCTGGGACTGCTGGGTCACCTGCCTCATCCAGGCTCGATGGCCACTCACTCCTGCCCTGTGGTGTCATTTGGGCATAAATCCTGAGAAGTCTGTCCCAACTCTTGAATCTTTCATGGAGAGCGTGGGAATGTATATTTTGGTTTTATCGGTTTGTTTTCGTGAGCTGTGTTTTGATATTCAAAAGAGGTTCACTCAGGGGCAGAGGCTAAGAATGTTTTCTGATGGTGTTTCTCTTTTGCTTCTTCCTAATCACTTGCAATTGTAAGGGGGGAAAAAAGGTACAAAACAAACACAACAACCCTCCAGACCCTCCAGTGACATTGAAAGGACCTGGTTCTCTGCCTTCCTTTTTACATGCAGCGTGGTAGAGTAGAGTAGATTGCTATCTGAATTTGTTTTTTTTTTTTTTTTTGGAGATGCCTAAAGTGCTGCAGAAAGCCCACTTCTCCGTTAAACAGGCAGGTCTTAGCATATTCTCGTCACTGGATCAGGATTTCTGAGGGTTGCAGGGGGCCAGGCTCGGTTTGCTCAGATTCTTTCCTTCCTTCACTCATTCAGTGAATGCAGAGCACTGGCCATCGGTGATGTGCCAGACGCTGTGATGGACACTGGGGTGAGGAGAAGAATGAGACCACGTCCCTGCTTGCGTGCCGTGTTCTTCTGGGAGGCTCGGTTCCCCGTGACCGGGCTGGGTTGTCCCGTAGCCCTCATGTTTCCAGGCAATAATACCTCTTTTGCCACTTGCCACCTGCAGTTCTGAGCTAAAAGCGACCATATATCTAACTCCACTTGGTATTTATTGGGTTGTTATACCAAATTTTGCAAAGCCAGAGGCACCGCTTGGTTGGAAGGAAGCTTCTTTATTCCACCCCCAAGAGGCTGCTCAACGGGCTTTGATGATCCGTAAAACCCAGCTCCACTTCTAGCACGGGAGAGCTTGTAACTTTTTTTTTTTTTTTTTTTGCCTTTTCTGAATTTGAGGCCTTTATGGAGGATTTTGAGAGTGGGGCGCTGTCGGGCGGGTTTTATGTCATTGCCTCTCACACGGGCGATGAAGTTCCGGGATCAATTTCGCTGCACGGCCGGCCCGCGCTCTGCTGCACTTGGAAGCGTTACATTGCGAGAAGTGCTCTTTTCGTGGCGAGATTCAGATGTGGTAATTGAAATGGGGATGCCTGAAAGGACTGTTGATGTCCCCACGCCTGCACTGCCGTCTTGCAGAAGAGCCGAGGGGATTTGCTCCCTTGTTCACTTCTGAGGGGGAGGAGCCTAACGGACAGTCCTGCCAGTGGCCCCCCACAGTCTGTCCTTCAGGACCTGAACCCCATTCTCTTCCTGATGGATAACACTGGAGGAGGACTTGACAGAATTTACAAGGAGCCGTCTTGGAAGACAACATGTCAGGGGCTGAGGGGGCGGAAGGGAAGGTTTCTACATGGATCCAAGAAGGAACTGGTGGGACGTGTCTCGGACGGTTGCATAATTCTATCTTAAAATGAATGTAGCAGGGATCCATTTGGGAGAGGAGGAATACAAGTAGTATTATTAAAGTGCTTCACACTCCTCTGCATCTTGTCTAAAGGTAGGATCCTTAGGGCTCTTAAAAGGCATGAGGCCTGATTGGCACATTTTGTGGATGAAAATCAGGGGACTTGTCCAAGGTCATCACCCCAGACCTCCTGGCTCCCAGCCCCTTGCCACCTCCCTCCAGCCTGCGCTGCCTCCCACATGAATCAGTGGCTCTTTGAAGCAAGACTAAAGCTGTCCTTGGGCACGTCGCCCTCCAAAGAGACTCTGTGGCCCTCCTGGTGATGGTTGGGTGGCCGCTCTGCTCACGTTGACGCAGGAGGAATGGCAGGACCCGGTCTTGTTTTTTAAGCAGGGTCTCATTGCCGCGATTATTGAATGTATCTTTTAAAGATGAATATAAAACAGCTACCCTCCCAAGCAAATCATAAAACAAATTACGCCCTTGCCACCCAGAACTACAGAGAAACAGCAGGCTCTTGGCGGCGTAGAGAGTAATGGTTGCAATATTAAAACAATGAGGGGGAAACCGGGATCCAATAGCTGAGCGCAGGCAGGAGAACAACCCCGTAATCCCCCAGGGATAATGGGTCTCGACGACAGGCCCCTGTGATTTATTGTGCTTAATGTACTTATTTTTATTTGTGCCCTTCAACACGGAGCTTTGTCACTGGAGAGATTTGATAATGGCCTGTTTGCAGTCACTTAGGCTCTGTAATAAAGCGCCACACTTGGGCTGTCTGTAGGGCTCATTGGCATTCCCCTCCCAACTCCCTTCATCGCCTGAGATGGGATGGGGGAGATGGGCACTTCTCCCCTCCCTGAGCTTCCCCACCAGGCTACCCATCCTGGCGTCCCTGCCCGCCCAGGCCCCGCCTGCCCCTCTGGTTTGCGCCGCCCCAGGACAGGGACAGCCAGGTGCAGCATCGCAGCCCTGGGAGGTCAGGAAGTGCCCAGATGGATGTTGGTGCGGGTTGCACGATGATGCAAATGTACTCAGTTCCACCCAACTGCACCCCTCAAAACGGTGGAGGGAGGAACACCCCCATCCTGCCTATCATAATAGATGCCTGGGACTTCGTCTTCATGCATCACCAGTGTGAGTTTACTGCTTACAGCTTTGGGGGTAAGTAAAAATAGCAGCGGAGGAGTGGCTATGTAAGGTTTCCCAAAAGAATGGGCTTGATTTAAACGCTGTCTTGCGCTCTGATGGCGGCAGCAGCAGCAGCTGGTTTGCAAAGACGGGTGTGTCTCATCCACAGTTGTGAGTCAACCTGAGGTTTCCATTTCAGCTTTTTCCTGGGCTTTTGGGAAAGGGAAGCGGAAATTCTCCCGAGACTCCTCAAAGCACCGACCTCCTTTGTGCAGCACTACCCGTAACCTGCTGAGGTTCGGGCAGAGAACTCCAGGGGGCAGCTGGGAAGTGCCTTTTCCCCCCTCGGGTCAGTCCAGTCCAGTCGGTAGGGAAGGTGCTGTGCTCTGTTGGGTCTCCCACTTGACCTCCATGGCATGGCCGGGGAGAGTGTTGGCTTCATTCTGCCGACCACGTAGCAGAGAAGGGCTCCTTTAAAGGGCAGAACCAGCAGAAAAAGTCAGGAGTGAGCCCAGGTGGGTGTTGCAGTTGAGAGGATCGGTGTCCTAGGCTGCAGCAGGGTGGCGGCCCCACTGGGAGAGAGCTGGGCTCAGGTGACGCTGCTCTCAGCCACTCCGGCACCCTTTACCCTCCTTGTGCCTTGTGATCCCAGGCCACTCTGCTCCGGTCCAGACACATTCTGACCTCAGCTGAGTCTCTGGCACTCTGGTCCAGTGACCAGTTTTGGTTATATACCCCAAAGAACTAAAATCAGGGACTCGAGTGTAATTTATTTGTACACATGCGTTCGTAACAGCATCATTCACAAAAGCCCCAAAGTGGGACTGACCTAAGTGTCTATCAGAGGTCAGATGGATGAACAGGAGGAGATAAATACACACAATGGAATATTATTCAGCCCTAAGCAGGAAGGAAACCCTGTCACATGCCAAATTTGGAGACATTACACTGGACGAAGTAAGCCAGTCACTGAAGGACACATAGTCATGATTCCACTTAAAGGAGGCTTCAAGAGTAGGTAAATTTATAGAGAGACAAAGCAGAACCGTGGTGGCTAGGGCCTGGGGCAGGAGCTGGCAGTGTCCAGTGGACAACAGAGTTTCAGGTTGGGAAGATGAAAGTGTCCTGGCCGAGGGTGGTAGGGATGGTTGCAAAGGACATGAACTGACTTCTACTGAACCCTCCAGTGGTTAAAGTGGTCACTTTTATGTTGTGTGTATTTTGCCACCATGAAAAAAAAAAGACTTGGCAAGCAGACTCTAAGGGTGCCTGGGATCCCCACCTCCTGGTGTTCACATCCTTGTGTCATCCCACTGTATGTGCCAGGGACTTGTGACCTTTTGTAACCACCAGACGGCGGGCGGCAGAGGTGGTGGGTGCCACTTCTGGGATCACATCCTGTTGTGTTTGTAAGACATGCGTCTTGCGGGCAGGGTCCCTGAGGGCTCTTGTTGCTGCTTTGATGAGGTTATCATGTGGAGGGAGCCCACTCAGCAAAGAACTGGGGGTGGCTTCAGCAATCCAGCCGTCAGCTAGCAAGAAGGCAGTGCATTCAGGCACAGGGAATGGGATCCTCACGGCACCGTGAGCTTGCAGGTGGACTCTCCCTCGAGCTTCCACCTGGTGACACTTTGTAGCCTTATGAGGCTCTGACCCAGTTAGCTGTGCCCAGACTTATGCCAGAGCTACAGAAACGGAGAGCACAGATGTCTGCTGTTGCAGGCTGCCAACTCGAGGGTAATTTGTTACACAGCAATAGATGACAGATACATGGCCTCCCAGGAGACTCGCCGGAATGGATTCCATCCTGGTTCTCTACCCTGATCACCAGAGGCCTGTGTCGTCTTTTCTTGTCTTCTGGAAGAGAGCAAAAGAATGAATGGCCTCTTTTTTCTGTCTTCTAGTTACACTCGAATACATTCATGGTGAGAGCCCATTGACCTTCTTGGTTCCTTCCCGTGCTCTTCCGGCCTCAGGTTCGCCTGTCCCACCCGGAGGCTCGGGATACCAGTTCCCCCCACCTACCTGTGCAGGTGAGCTCTCTCCCCACCCCTGTCTGCATCTCTCCTGCTCCAGTGCTGTGACCCTACGTCTTGCCTGTGCATTAACACAGAGAGTTGAGTGAGCAGATTTGGGGGGTGGACTTGATTTCAAATATTCTGTCCCATTTGTTGCCCCCATAAACTGCTAAACTGCCCTAGAAATTCCGTTGTGGTATGTAAGCTCTCCTTGGACCGACTCCCACATAATAAATTAAAAAGATCTGCTGCCACTTTTTGAGCACGGCCATATGTCATCCACTTGATTAATGATTCTCATTGTGTTTGCTCAACAGTCCTGAGGAGGTGGGTGCCGTGGGGCTCCATCTACATAAGACACAGTGAGGTGTCTTTTCTTGTGACCCAGAGTTCATATCTGGCCAAAGCAGGCTTAGAACACCATGCTGTGCTGCATGCCTGAGCCCAATGCCTTGGAAGATCATGGAGAGATGTCTACAGGTCCTACCTTCTAGTTTTGCCTGGAAGATGGAGTGGCTGCAACAGAGGCCAGCAGGGTTTCTGAACATTCACTCCTGTGAGCCATGTGGGGTGGGGTGGAGTCGGGGGGGACCCACTGAAATAAGAAGGGGAGAAGAGGCGGTAAGAATGGGGTTTCCAGGGCTGGGGTTGTGGCTTAGTGGTAGAGGGCTTGCCCAGCATGTGTGAGGCCCTGGTGGGGAGAGTGAGGGGCCACAGTGGTCTCACCTTGGCTGAATTTTGGAATCCTTGGGGAAGCTTTAATGTATACCAACCAGTGCCTGCACTCTACACCACAAATGTTGGTTTGTGTGCATCTTGTGCACAAGGATCAAAAACTCCAGGTGATGAGGGTTCGTGGCCAGATTCAGAACACTGGGGCACAGGGTCTCTGTGTGGTGGACCTTGAACAGAGAAGGTGGAGCATCAGGGTGAGGGCATGGTCCCACCACCAACCCAGCTCCTCTCCCTACTGGGCAGCAGACCCTGTGAGCTTAGAGACTGGCACTTGCAGAGGGGGCTGTGGGATGGGCTTCCGGGAGCTCATGCTTTTGCTTTGGAACTGACAGGTCCCAGCCTATCAGTGCCTTCAGCTCCCTCCCTACTCTGCACACAGTACAGGGTGCAGGGGGTCCCCGGGGACTGGGCATATACACCCGCAGGCCTTAGTGAGGCAGCTGTCTGTGCTGCGTGGATTACCTTTGGCCTTGCCTAGGGTTAGCGGTTACTCTGGGTGTCGGGTTTTCCCAGGCTCCCCCGGTACCTCTTGGTGAGGAGGATTAGATCGCAGGGAGTAGGGAGGGAGCCCGTGATTGTGTCTGCTGGGATGAATGAGGAGCTGATGGACCTGCTGTGGGTGTCCTGTGCAACTTAGTTTAGTGGTCAACTTCAGCACCTGTTGAGAGGACGAGCACAGGGAACCTAAGGCAGCTGAAGTAAGTAAAGGGTTGGGCAATTTTTCACCCTATTTTATTATTTTCTGGTAAGTCCCCCTCTCCTTCCCTTCTTTATCCTGCTTGTTTTTCTTCCCGTAAGAGAGGAAGACGTTTTTTAATGTGCTGTGGAGTCCATTTGAATGTGAGCTGTTGATGGAGGGGTTTGTCTTCAGTGTGTATTTGTTGTTGGGGGGATGAGTAAACAGTGGTGTGTAGCCGTGGGTTGTGGGGGCCGCAGGGGAAAGAGAATCATTTAAGATTTATTCTGTGATGGGGTCCTGGGAGGAACTACCGGCGTTCCTGGGGTGGGGGGATGCAGAGGGCTCTGGCTTGTGTTGGGTTTTCCTCCCCCATGGGAGCAGGTGTCTTCGTTCACAATTAGAATGCTTTTCTTTTTTTTCTTTTTATTCTTTGCCCTACCTTGTCATGGGAGATGACACTTCTGCAGACTTTCGTCTTTTATGTGTTCTAAACCGAGCCCTTTCCCCCGCTGTGGCTTCAATAATGCATCATTTCATAAGTTCATGGAATTTAATGTGCCTCTGCTCGCCCTCCAGTCTCGGCTAGGTAGTTAAATGAAAATTAACCACTGGAGGTTGGGCTCAAAGTCACCTCTTCGCCTTCTCCTTTTGGATCCCCTCCCCTCTCCGCTGCCCCGAGTGTGCAAAACAGTGTCCCCTTTTCTCTCCTTGGTGTGGCGTGCGCAGGACGCTCCCCTGGGCGAGTGGGAATATCGATTTATTTCATCATCCGAGATCCATGAAAAAAATAACAGTGTGAACGTACAAGTTTTTGAACCGCCGCCTCTCCAGCTGAAGTAGAGTGGAGTCTAGGGACCTGTAGCAAACTAATATTTAACGAGAGTGCTGCTGTTGTGCCGCATTTCGGATTCGCGGTGGCTGCCGGTGAAATTGGCATGTGTCCTGACAGGGCTCTGAAGTGGGCTCCGTCTTCATTCCCTTCATTCACTTGTTCACTTATTCAGTGCCTAATGATCATTTTATATGTATGAGGCACCCGGGTGGTGGATGTGATCGGCTATTTGCATTAATGGCTTCCATTCTTCACAGTTTTCTGAATTCCTGCCCGATCTCCTTGACTCGGCTTTGGACTCGACCACACGTGACTTGCTTTGACCTGTAGGATGAAGTGGAGGTGATGGGGTGGGAGTCTGGAGCCTGTACCAGACAAGATCTGAAGCATTTCTGTTTTTTTTTTTTTTTTTTTTTTGATGTGCCTTTGCATTTGCCACAAAAAGAAAGCGTGCCCCGGACGCTTGGAAAACAGCCTCCAGCCAACCTGAGAGGCTTCAGTGAGAAACCAAGCCTCCTGGAGATCCCCCGAGTCCCAGCCAACTTGCAGATGCTGAGCAGAAAGAAATGGTTGTTGCCTTAAGACTCTGGTGCCTCAGCAGCATTGTTGTGCAACCGATGACGGACACAATGGATATTGATAGGATTCCGTCATGGGTCCCCCTGGAGAGAAGTCTTAGAGTTGGGTGATGTTGGTGGGAGGGTCAGGACAAGATCATGAAGTGCCAAACAAGATAGAGTTCCAAGTGGCCTGTGAGAGGACTCAGTCAAGAGAGTCTGCAGGAAGATTGATCCGAGACCTCATGGGGGGTGGCCTTTGAGACGGTGTTACTGAAGTCCAGAAGAGGGGGATGTTGACCAGGATTCTGGATTAATATATGGTATTTCAAACTTGATTCCCCATCGAAGCCAATGCATTGGTACCTATTTCCCATTAAATATCGAATGACTTTGCTTTCATTAAACCAAAAAAAGAAAAAAAAAAGGCTTAAAAGTTATAGCAAAGTTGATGTCTGGGAGCCACATCCCCCTTTGGGAATAGCCAGAATTTGCACTGCTTATCACAAAGGGTCACCCAACATAGATCTGATGTACCTACTGTGTGCCAGGGATGGGTTGCTAAGCATTTTATATTCGTAATCTTGTGAAATCATCATCATTGTGTTGACAGTCGTAAGTGCTAATCATGTTATTTCCATTTTCCAGGTAAATTAACCAAGCCTGAGGGGGAAGGTTACTTGCTGAAATTATGCAGGGACATCAGAGTCTCCTTCCACTCCCTGCCCCTGTCCCTGTCACGATTGACATCCTCACAATTCGTTTTTGAATCACATAGCACAGTGTCTTGCACACAGCAGGTGCTCAAAAAGAAGGCAGCTTTGCAGAATGGAATAGATCTAACAAGAGGGAAAAGTGCCTTTCACCCATGTCTGTGTGGCCGTCATAACCTAGGAAGGAGGTGAATTCCTGAAGCAAAATCCACTGGCACAGATACTGAAAGCACTTCGGGTGTTAGGGAGACCTAGAGGAGGGACCCTTCATATAGTTCGGGAAAGATAACGTCTCTGGGAGGGGCCAGCTCCGAGGGAGTCTGAACAAGGAGTCTGAATTGGATGCGGGAGGAGGAAGGGGCTTGCTGTGTGCTTCCCTGGTGCCCCAGGTATCTTCTGGGTCAAGGCAGATGCTCCGAGCTGTTGCTTGAGGAAGGTGGGGGCAGAGAGTCTTCAGAGCAGCTGTGATAATAAACTTCCCTCTGCAATCTCAAATCCTCTTTTTCCAGCATTAGGGAAATTGAGGCAGCACCCCAAAAGGAATTAAGGAATTACGGCCCATTTTGTCCTGAACAATCCCGAGAACCATTGCCTGAGAAGATGGGCTTATCACTAATATAAAGATGCCTTGAAGGGACCTGGGAATGCTGCAGATATAAAATAAATATGAAATAGCCCATGACAGTCCAAACATCATAGAGTGATTCCCCGTGGCTCTCGGTTTTTGCAGTGATTTACTGATGATTCTCAACTCGACCTGGGCCTGGATCTGCATTTCAGCTCTGACATGCCCCTGTGAGACGCTGGTGACATTCTTTTATATTCTCCGAGCCTCGGTTTCTTCAAAGAAATACGAAAAAGAAAACATGGAATAGGCATAAAATCTGTATCACAGGGTTGTGCAGGTTAGTTTTTTAAAAAGCGAATAGTTTTTTTTTTTTTTTTAGGACCAACTGTGTAACTGTGTGCTACCCATTTTCTTTTTTGCTTCTGTGTGAATCAATTCACTTGACACCTTTAATCCTCACATCACACTCTGAGATGGAATAAACATGGTGGTGGCCTCCACTTTGGCACTGCGGAGTTCGGTAGCTTCCCATGGCTACTGGGCCAGCTGTGGGGGAGACCCTGGGATCTGAACTGCAGAGTGACGCGCTTGGCCCTCAGCCTTGCTAACTCCGGGCCTGGAAATGGGCAGGTGCACGTGAATTGCTAGTTCCCCATCCACTTCTTTTTAGAGCTGGCCTCTGCTCTTCTCTCCCAGTCCTGAGAAGCTGCCGGTCAGCTGGGCGGGGAGGGCTGGGTAGCCGGTTCCCAGCGTAGGGGGCAGAGACCAGGGTCCTGCCTGCAGCAAACCGACATGCTGGTAATTCATTTGCCAACGTGTGTCTCATCTGCCCACCGCGGGATCGCACAGTGCACAGGGCGGGGACGGTGTCCGCTATCCTGGACCACAGTGCAGCCCCGACTCCCAACTGCATTCCGAGCACTCAGGAAAC